GAACAGCATCGGCGCTCCTGTCCCAGTGGATCTGGCAGTGATACCGTCAAGGTCAAGGCTGGCTGTGAAAGGGCAGGGCTCGTGAGGCACCATCAGGGCAGTGAGGCCCTTTTGTGTGTTTTGTTTCATTTTCTGTAACCCAGGGGCTGACAATTTTTGTAAGGGGGAAGAACAAGTAAATTCTGGCTCCTTCTCAGACGCTGCTCAGGCACTGCGCAATGCCAGGGCGCTGAGGCAGCCTCCGACAAGCTGCGCTCAGGAAGCAGGTCAGGCGGGCTGTGAGCAGACGACTGGAGGAAGCATGCAGCCTGGGGCAAATGGGCATCTGCTTCTGTGGAGGGAGTGGGCAGCCACTTTCCTGAGTGTGGGAGAGAGCTGAAAGGAGGCAGCCAGGCCTATATGACACTAGGGGCAGGAAGGAAACACCTGCTCTGGCATCTTTGGGTGAGTATGTGATTGCATATATATCAGCAATATTTGAAACAGAAATCCAGAATTTGTGGTTCTTACTATGCCTCCCATCTCACTCCCCAAGCTCCAGTGATGCCAAACTGCTCTCTCCACTCTTATCTCTGCATTTGCTGTTCCTTCTTCCTGGAGTGCCCTCCTATCCCTCCTGGTCAGGCTGGTGAAATCCCGTCCATCTTTCAAATCCAGGAAAAGATGCCACCACTTCTGTGAAATACTTTTTGACACTCCCAGGTTCAACAGACCCTACCCTCCTCTGATCTCATACAACACAAGAAACACACCTCCATCATGACCCCCACATGATGCACGCCACTCCACCCTGCTGTGAACTCAGTGTTTGTGTCTCCGCTGAGTCCTAACCTCCAACGTAATACGATTAGGTGTTGGGGTCCTTGGAAGGTAATTAGGTCATGAGGGCTGGCCCCGCATGACAGGATTCATGCTTATAAAAGCAGCCCCAGAAAGTTCTTTCATCTTTTCCACCATGTGAGACCACAATGAAAAGGCACCAACTATGAGGAAGAAGGCTCTCATCAGACACTGAATCTGCAGTGCCCTGATCTTGAACTTCCCGGCTTCCAGAATGGTGAGAAATAAACTTCTGTCGTTTAGAAGCCGCCTAGTCCAGGGTATTCTGTTACCAGTCTGAATGGACTAAAACAAGTATTTAGTCATGTGAGCTATCTTTCAGCCATGGATGTGCCTTACTTACCTGACTCCACAGTACCTGCAAGCAGATGCCCAAGGGCCCTGTGAGCCACGTGGCTCACACATCAAACTTATCACTTATTAACAGGAAGATCAGTGAATAGAAATCATGCCAATAATGGCTTTACTTTGACCCTTCACTCCTTGGAAACAAGAAGGGAGGAAGCTCTGATGGTTTTCCAGAGGCTTATTCTGATTTAGCAACTACCAGCAAACAAGTCCCCTTGGAGACTGTCCACTCCACATCAGTGCCCACATACTCCCTCCACCACCCCCTCCCCCTGCCCCCAGGCACGAGGACTAAGACCAGGAAAAAGAAAGAGATCTTTGGGAACCTCTCTGGTTCTGCCTGAGACAAGAAGTAATTCTCTCCAGGCAGCACGAATCCCACAAGTTGATGTCATCATGGGCATTGCCACAGCCCCTTCTCTAAAGCAGGGAAAAGTTGCTCTACACTACGAGTCTTCCTCTTGGTAACACAACTTCCTTGGTATGTTACCAAGACTTTGCCAAGTGCTCTAAGGAGGTTTGTCGAATGAAACAAAATTCTCTGGTCACGTTTTATTAATGTTCTTACCTCATCATTAGAGCCTTCCTAATGAAAAAGGAGATGAAGCCGGCATTAATGCATTCGTTTTGCCTATGTGTACAGAGCCCCACATTATCAGAGGCCCAGCAGCAAAGGCGTCAAGAAAGAGCCATCCAAGATGTATCTGAAGCATGGGAAGCATTTCCACAAGCTGAGAGGTGTGGAAGAGTAGTGTTCTGAGTGGCCTGAAGAGCAGAGTAAAGGCGTCAAATGCAAAAGTAGAGAGCGTGTGCACAAGGTACTGCCAGTCCTTGTCATACAGTCCCCACCAGGGAGGCAATGTCAGTCCTGGAATTAACTCGCATTCTCCAGCCAGGCCTCCATATACCAGCTGTGTGGCTTTGGGCAAATTCCTTAAATTCTGTGGGCTTCATCTTAGTTATCAGTAAAACATTAAGAATGTGCTGACTTAAATGTATCTCCTTGCCACTATATTTCTATCATTGTTCCTTGGTTTTTGTTTTCCTCTTGAAAGAAACGTTCACTATCTTGTGTTAGCCTGATTAGACAATGAAGAGAGTCCATGGACACTGGATGCCTGAAACACAGATCCCATCTACCTTGAATTTGCAGATGAATTAGGAACAGCTTGAAAAATGCACAGTCAACAGTAATAAATAGTTAAGTAATAAAGTTCCCATAAAAGAAGAAATTCTTTGAGGCTCAGAGTCTTAATAAAAACTGGATAGGATTTTAATAAGCTGAGAAAAGGGGAAGACAGAAGGCATTACAGGTACAGAGCTTACTGAAGAAATCAATATTGTGTGGGGCATGTTCAAGAAACCACAGGTAATCTGGCCTGGCCAGTATGAATAAGAAATTGAAGACATGGCCTGAGAAGCAGTATAAGGTCAGACTGAGAGGGATCTAAAGATCAAGATGAAGACTCAGTACTTATCTCATGAACAATGGACAGCCACAGTGATGGGGCCTGGGCTCACAGTTTGAGATCTGGAAGGTTTATATAGAGGGAGTTCACGCCTCCATGAAAGACCAGGAAGCCAAAGCAAGGGAATTTAACTTGCTCAAGGTTACACTGCTCATTATGGGCAGAATGGAGATGAAAACTCCAGTTTCCTGATTACCAGTCAAGATCTGGAAGCTCTATACCAGGGAGATGACAACATATGGCACGCACGTACACCACTTCCTTTTTCCTCATCCAAGGCAGACATTTCTAATTGATCGGGGCTCCTTCCTGGTGGTGCAGATCCAGCCTCACCGTCCTCGACCCAGTACTTCCGTATCTGCCCATAGTCAGCGCTGCTCCTAGAGGTGAAGCCTCTCAGCCATCATGCCCTTGCCCTGCTGCCTTAATACAAAAATGCTTGCTTTGAAATTCCCACAGAGAATAGCAGAAATGACTGAGGGAGGACTCAGTCACTTACAAGAGTCACTTGGTTGGTGCATCTCACTGTGTGGGAGGTGAATTGTATCCGTCATCATCTCAGACATTCTGCCACCAGCCAATGAGAGGGGTTACCCAGGGCCATCTCTAACTGTTCTCTACGCCACCTTCTCTGCTCATCAAAATTATAACTGAAAAGCAGAAGGGGAAATCCCAAACTTGGAAATTGATCTGAGAGCATCAATAAGCAAACACATTGCTTAAGATGATGAGGAGGAAAGGGGAAAGTGGGTGTGGGGAAAGAAAATAATGCATTAACCCACAGACTTAAAACTAAGTACCATTCAATGTTTCCTTTTTAGTTTAGAAACCACTAACTAAAAATGAAGAAAAAAATCAGGAAGTTCCCTCCTTAGTGTTAACAATAGAACAATCCAGTGTGCTGTTACAGGGGCAACTTCTTTTTAAAAAGAGAGGCACTGAATGTTCAGATCGGCCAGATCTTGACTGGTAGTTTGACTTGAGTGCACTCTGACATCTAAAAATAGATTTGTGATGGAGATCAACTGTAATTAACTTCAGACTTATTTAAATTATGTATTCAACATTGAAAGGATATACTGGCAAGAATGCTAACAACAAATGTGGGGATTTTCGATCCTCTTCCTGAGGCTTGGTGAAATTCTTCTTTTCTGTCTCTTCTAATTTGTCTTACTTCAACCAGTGATAAGCACCTACCTGTGCATATTTTGCAAAAAAACCTTCTGGAGTATTTTAAGATCCTTCTCATTCAGAATCTGCACAACATACACAAGGTAAAATCGTGTCACTTATGCATACAAAAACTTCCTACTTTAGGATAAACTGGTATATTAAAATCTGAATGTGAAAGTAGGCAAATGAAGATATTGTCATATAAACAATCTTATTCATTTCCTCAAAGGATTCCCCATAGAATCCTCTTGAAAAAAGAGTGCATGCAGCCCTGGCATGTTGGCTCACGTCTGTAATTCCAGCACTTTGGGAGGCCGAAGCAGGCAGATCATTAAGTCAGAAGTTCGAGACCCGCCTGGCCAACAAAGTGAAACCCAGTCTCTACTAAAAATAATTTTAAAAATTTAGCCGGGTGTAGTGGCGGGCACCTGTAATCCCAGCTACATGGGAGGCTGAGGCAGGAGAATCATTTGAACCCAGGAGGCGGAGGTTGCAGTCAGCTGAGATCACGTCATTGCACTCCAGCCCAGGCAACAGTTCAAGTCTTTAAAAAAAAAAGTGAATGCAGTTTAAATGATTCAACTTAGAAAACTCTGACTGGTATACAGTTTTTCAGGATTACACTTGTGACCCAAAGTAAAGTGTACCTACAGTCAGTGGACTATGATGGTCTCAGATTGAGTGGAAAATGCCAGGAATAGGATTGTTTTATGAAAAATGAGATATAAGAACAAATGAAGTCACATATTTTTAAAAGGTTGCTTTTTTGTTCTTGGAGCTTTCCCCTAACATTAAAAAAAAACTGAGTCCCATTTTTTGAACAGTAAAATCCTCCCCACACTGTATTTACAAAACTTAGTAATTAACTGATTAGATTAAAATAGAATTCTAATATCACTAAGCCACCTCATAGAAAACACAAAATACGTCCATTTAAAATTTTCACAATTATCTCCCTCAGTGATATTGTTAATTATATAAATAATTAAGGCATTAATAAAATTAATCTGTTTCCTTGCATGTGAGAATAATTTTTTAACACGTGTGAAAGGTTTAAAGCACATTTCCAGAAAAAAAAAAAAGTTGTCAGGGAATAAAAAGACAAGCATTCACCCTAAGAACCATAATTACTGCTTTCCTCATAGAAATGTCATCTGAACCTTTCACTTTTTTTCTTTTTTTTTTTTTTCAAGAAGAAAAGTCAGTTCTGTAGCTTTTTTCAGACTACAAAGTTCTCACTTCAGGATTTTAGCATTTAAACTTACACCCTTCTTTATCTAAGTTTGTTCTTAATTAATGTAATGTAATAAGCATCAAAAGAGAAATTGTAATACTTTCCGAATATAATTGGCATTGGCATGGTATTCTATTTAGAGTCTATCCACCTGAACCCGGTTCTAGAAAGAAAAATAAAAAAAAAACGTGTAAAAAACTGAGAGGTCCATTCTGCTTCTACCAAGACAGACCACTGATGCCTGAAAGATGCTGCCATTGGCTGCAGGATTTCATATAAACACAGCGATCACATCACAGCCAGCAGTATGCAGAGGGCAGCCACAGTTAAATGTGCAGCTCCCCTTGCCCTTTGAATTAAGGCAATCATCTCTGATGAGCTGCACTTTTAATTTTTACTCTCAACAATGCCAGAGAGATAGTTTTATACAGACACAGCAGCACAGTCTCTGGCTGCTGGAGGTTTGCTCTCTGCCTTCCGAAGCCTTCAGTGAGGACTGTGACATGATGGAAATACACATATGTCCTACGGAGGCAGCCTGCCTATGTTTCATGCCTGTTTCTGTCACTTACAAGCTATATGACCTTTGGGCAAGTCTCTTAAACACAAAGAGAAATAAATGAGTTACACAATCATAGGGTGGCTGTGAGAATTAAATGAGTTCTACGAATGCATCTGTATATAGAGCCCTTGGGACAATGCCTTGCATATGGTAAACACCAGGTAAGTATCTGATATTATGATTACATTCCATATCTTATATGCATGGCGTGAGATCTCCAGGTCATTAATGAAGATTACATCAAACTTTCTTAAGTTGCCTTAATGGATGGTGGCTCTCCTCCTGGCATAAATTCGAAGAGAAGAAAGGAGATTTTTGTTTGTTTGTTTATCTCTCAAACTAAGACTCTGTTTGCCACTCAGCCCTCTAGTGCAGATGGGAAACCGTGAAGCCTTCTTTCCTCCTCTTGGGCAAGTTCCTTCGGACCTACTCCCTGGCACTCTCTCCTTCCCTCTTGCCCAGGTTTACCCTTTCCTTCACCCTTTAAAGAAAAGTGTGACTCTCACTAAGACTACAGAGCTCCCCTCATGGTTTGCTTGGTAGGCTCCTTATCATTTTCCAGAACTTGGCTCAACTACCACTGAGACAGCAAGTGGGAGGGGGTCCCCAGAGAATCTCCAACCAGCCTGCACACTGGGAGGCATGCACACTGGGGTGAAACCTTGGGAAGTTTGGGGCATTTTCATTGAGGAGGATCCTGGCCCCTCCTATTCCCGTGTGGAACCTGAGCCTGGCCCCTCCTCTTCCCACGCTGAACCTGAGCCCGGCCCCTCCTCTTCCCGTGTGGAACCTGAACTGGAAAGGCCGGGCAGGAAGCACTCCAGCAGGGACTCTGGCCTAGTGGGAGTTCCTGTTTCCCCCTTTTCTTCCTTTTCACCCAATAAAACCCTGTAGTACTCACCATTCAAATTGCCTGTGAGCCTGAATTTTCATGGCCATGGAACAAAGAACCCTGTCTCTGGCTGAACTAAGAAAGTGTCCAGGTTAGGCATGGTGGCTCACACCTGTAATCCCAGCACTTTGGGAGGCCAAGGTGGGAGGATCACTTGAGGACAGATGTTTAAGACCAGTCTGGCCAACTGGTCAGGTGAAACCCTGTTTCTACTAAAACTATAAAAATTAGCAGTGTGTGTTGGTGCACACCTGTAATCCTAGCTATGCAGGAGGCTGAGGTGGGAGAATCACTTGAACCTGGCAGGTGGAGGTTGCAGTGAGCTGAGACTGCGCCACTGCACTCCAGGCTGGGCAAGAGAGTGAGATCCATCTCAAAAAAAAAAAAAAAACCTGCTACACCACTGCTCCCAAAAAGACTTGTTTGACACCCCTGCCACTGCCCACTGCCCCTCACCCTCATCTTTGGTCTGTAACATTGCTGGCCTGCTGTTTTTTTCATGATGCTATGATTTGTTTATTTTCATATCTGTCTCCTCCAAGAGGCTGTGAATCTCATAGGAGTAGATGGCATTTTATCTTTTTTCTGTACACACAGCGCATAGTAACATAACTGCCCCCTAGCAGGTATTCAATAAATAATTGTTGAAAAAATGTATAGTTTCTTCTACCTGCCCAAGACCAGCTTTCTCCCTCAGATTGTCATTCAGCTATGATTCTGCCATCTTTTCACCATCAAGAGTTTAAGACAGATGTCAGATGTGCTGATTCAACAGCCCCTACCTGTCTTACCTAAGCGATGGGATCAATACTCATTCTGCTTCTGAAGTGAGATACAACACTGGAGGAAAGGGATAGAGGGGAAATGGGACCAAATGCTCTTCAAACAGTTCCCAGTGAAGGTACCTCATCCTTTTCAGAGAAGCAGGCCTTTGGGGGCCAGGCTCAGGGGACAGTGTACCCCAGGAGCCTTCCGAGGGTGTGGTGGTTCGTGGCCTCAGTCTGCACTAGGGAAGCCCAAGGTGGATACCCCAATAGTCTCCATCCAGGGGCCAAATGCCAAAGCCAGCTAGTCAGCCCATCCAGTGGGGTCATCACTGGTGAAAGGGTGGCTGCCTGTGGGCTGGATTTGGCCCCAGATATCTTTTGTTTGACTCCCAGGGTCATGAAAAAATGTTTGAAGTTAGCCATCAATGTGTAAAAATTGGCATATTATGCATTTTTTTTTAAATCTAGATTTCTAGCTTAACTAGAAGAGCAGGCAACAATGGGTCTCTCTCCCTGGCAGGAAGGCTTCGTGGGAGGGGACCAGTGCTGCCTTCTTTAGGTGGGGCATGTGCTATGCAGTTTTCCACACTCCCCACATCACTCAATTACTTCAACTCTCTGAGCACTATGCAAAAGAGTTTGTAACTCCCAGGCTAGGCTCAGCAAGAGAATCTAAGTACTGAGGCAAGGACATGTGATCTGGAGGAATCAGATCAGAATGTCGGAAGAAGCCCTGAACCAATGGGACAAGAGCTTTTTAAAAGAACTTTGAGACTTAGGCCAAGGTAGGGAGGTGACATGAAAGTTAGTGTTGAATGAAGGCTAGAGGTAATGTGACAGATTTTTTAGAAAGTGTGACAGTGGATGGCTTCTTTTTGAGGTGTGTGTGTGTGTGTGTGTGTGTGTGTGTGTGTGTAAAAATATGTATCTCCAGCCAGGACCTCTTTTCTGAATTCTAGATCTGTTTATCCAACTGCCTATTTGACACATCTAATGAGCATATCAAACTGAACACGTCCCAGTGGAACTATGGATGGTTTTCCCAAACCTGCTTCTCCTAACATCTCTTCCATCTTAGTTGATGGCACCTCTGTTCATTCTTCCAGTTGCTCAGGCCAACAACTTTGAGACTATCCCTGATTCCACAAGCTCTCACCTCCCACCATGTCAGGACAGCCAGAAAATCATGTTCTACCTCTATCTTCAAAACCCTCAGAATTCAAGCATACCTCACTCCCATTGCCATCACTCTGGCCTGAGCCATCTTCAACCTCTTAGATTACTGGAACAGTCCCCTAAATGCTGGACCTAATTCTTCCTATAGCAGTCCCTTCTCTGTAGAGAGGCCAGAATGATCATATGATCATTCTCCACGCAAAAGTATTTAGTAATCTGCCTCATGACATTAAATAGGGGATAACATACATATCAGACCTAAAGTTTTGTTTTTTAGTTTGTTTTGGAGATGGAGCCTTGCTCTGTCACCCAGGCTAGAGTACAGTGGTGTGATCTCAGCTCACTGCAACCTCTGCCTCCCGGGTTCAAGCAATTCTCCTGCCTCAGCCTCCTGAGTAGCTGGGATTACGGGCACGCCCTACTACACCCAGCTACTTTTTGCTTTTTTAGTAGAAACAGGTTTTCACCATCTTGGCCAGGCTGGTCTCAAACTCCTGACCTCATGATCCACCTGCCTCGGTGTCCCAAAGTGCTGGGATTATAGGTGTGAGCCACCACACCTGGCTAGACCTAAAGTTTTAATTTCATAAAGAGTACATATTAAAGTATGAGTGTATGACAGAGATTCAAATGATGGAGTGACAGAGACTTGCAGGACCACATAACACAATGCTGTGCTGTGCAGCAGGAAAGCTAGCTCTGCTCCTTTTAAACCTCCTGGCCCCTTAGAAGCATGTACCAAAGGATGACACTATGGCTACAATTTTTCACATGCAAGATCTGCCCACTCTGCACCAAGTGTCATTCAACCCCTTGTTTGTCCACTGGTCTGCTATATGTCTCTCTCATTTCTCTGGCTTTGGAACTTCTCTTTTTCTGGCTCTGAGGCCTCCAGCTCCGTTGCCTAATCTCCTGGCTCAGAGCTGATCTCCTGCCTCCAGGCTCAACCCTGCAACCTCTTTTCCTGTCTGCTTTAGCCTAGAGGGTAGATGTTGGACAGAAAGGATCCCAGGAAAGTTTCTGGCAAAGGCACTTACTCCACTGAGATGCTTTTAATTTTTTCCTTTCTCTTTTCCATAAGACTTTTGAAGTTACCTGGAAACAAATCAAGTTTTGTGATAACTTCTACCTAAGAAGACATAAAACTGAAATCTTCAGAATAGCTTTAGACAAACACATGCTGAAAAGGTGTGCCATATTTCTCCAAAAATATGCGGTGTAAAGCACACTTTAAAAGGCACGGGTTGAGGAGTTAGTGAAACAGTCAGGAATCTGATGAGGAATTTACAGATCTGCAAAGGCAAGGCACAGAGCCCAGAAATCTAATGCTTTCCACCAACTTTTCTTACTGAGCCAAGTGTGAGATAAGACACTGCTAATTCTAATCACAATGAAACATTTGCTATCACATACATTATAATGGAAAATGGAAAAGGGCCACCTTGGGGTTATAAAGGTTTATGTGGCTCCAAAAATTAGGTGGAGCTTAGGCATTGGTTGGAAGGCTGTTAGCAAGGAAAGCAATTCAGCTATTTTGGTGCTGTCATCCTTGGCACCTTGGGATAGGCAGAATAATGGCCCCAAAGATGTCCATGTCCTGTTCCCTAGAACCTCTGAATATCTTACATGACACAGCAAAGGGGACCCTGCAGCTGTGATGAAGGATTCTGAGTTGGACAATTATCTTGAATTACCAGGGTGAGCCTAATGCAACCACAAGAGGCTTTATAAAAAGAGAGGCAGGAGGCAAGAGAAATGATGACCAAAGCAGAGGTGAGGGTGATGTGGGACCATGAGCCAAGGAATATGGGCAGCCTTTAGAAGCTGGAAAAGGCAAGGAAATGGATTCTCCCTTAGAGCCCCCAGAGGGAACAGAGCCCTGCCAACCCATTTGAGAACTCTGACCCTACAGAAGTACAAGCTGGTAACTTTGTATTCTGTTAGCCATTCAATTTGAGGTAATTTGTTAAAGCAGCAACAAGAAACCAATACGTGTCTCTGATCTCACTCCCACATTCAGTCCCTTAGCAAATCTAGCTGGAGCATGTCCTAGGTCTTCTAGGGACCAGGTTAAGGGAGAAGATATTGAAGTTGTATGTGAAATCGCAACTCATGTAGTGGCAGCTCTTCATTGACTGCAAAGGAACAACTTCGCAAATGGCCTAGGGAAGCTCCATGCAGATGCCAGATGCACTAGACAACCAATGCATTTACTGAGTCAAAAAGATGGGCTTCAAACCAGGCCTGGGATGATCTCCACCCTCGCTGTCAATTACTCTCTAGCGGAGCCTGTAAGAAGAGTCCAGATCCACTATTGGAGAAATCCAGGAAGAGCAAAGGCATTCCTCACTGGCCACAGTATACTCTTAACCATGCTTTTCATCTTCTTACAGAAATCTTGCTCTTCCCCTCAGGCTCTCCTTGTACTTCTAACCTCCTTCCTCCTCCAGGGAAGCTTATTTTCAAGACAAGATTGAATATACCTATGGCTAGAAAGTAAACAATGGCTGTGACATTTAAACCAAACTTCCAAGGGGTATCTGCTTTATTCCCTTTTCCAACTTTCACTTTAGATTCAGGGGATACATGCACAGGTTTGTTCCATGGATAAACTGTGTATTGTGGGGGTTTGGTGTGAACATTATTTTATCACCCAAGTAATAAGCATGGGTAATTTTTGAATCCTCATCCTCCTCCCACCCTCTACCCTTAAGCCGGCCCGGTGCCTGTTGTTCCCTTTTTTGTGTCCATGTGTGTCCAATGTTTAGTTCTCACTTATAAGTGAGAACATGCGGTATTTGGCTGTCTGTTCCTCCATTAATTCACTTAGGATAACAGCCTCCAGCTCCATCCATGTTGCTGCAAAGGGCATGATTACATTCTTTTTTATGGCTACATAGTATTCTACGGTACACAGGTACTATATTTTCTTTATCCAGTTTGCTGTTGATCTAAGTTGATTCCACGTCTTTGCTATTGTGAATAGTACTGTGATGAACACGTGCATGCATGTATCTTTATGGCAGAACGATTTATATTCCTTCGGGTATATATCCAGTAATAGGGTTGCTTGGTTAAATGGTAGTTCTGTCTCATTAATAAGTTATTGGATAAACCTCCAAAGTGCTTTCCATAGTAGTTGAACTAATTTTCACTCCCATCAGCAGTGTGTAAGTGTTCCCTTTGCTGCATACCTCACAAGCATCTCTTATTTTTTGACTTTTTAATAACTGCCATTCTAACTGGTGTGAGATGG